CACACGCCGCACTAAAATACAAGCTGCGGCGCAGCAGCCACATGCAGGTCTCCAGCGCACAGCGCATGTACGGCCATAAAATAAGATAATTAGACAGAAAGACGCTACATGGAGGTTTTTTGTTGTTTTAATTCAACAAAACAAATTTTAAACACGGGTGAACGTGCCTGCAAGTTTAGAAAAGAAAACAGCACTGATAGCATTCATATTTCTGGATGGTTATAAAATAAAAACAGAACTGACACGTTATTACCGGTAACTTGCATGTTTAGAAGAAAAGAACAGCGCTGACACAGCATTAATAAGCCCTGGATGATTAGAAAATAAAAACTGCACACAAAACATGCCTGGTTAGTAAATAAAACACACTTGCCTACCAGAAGAAGTCATTCGCTCTCATCTTCCTCTTGCGCACTAAAGCCATTAAAGTCCTCTTCTTCAGTGTCGGAGTTGAACAGCCTCAGAAGAGCTTCGTCACATACCTTTTCTGTGGCGATGTCAGTGTCGCTGTCCGTGTTGCTGTCATCATCCCGGGTGAAGCTGGCTTGAATGAGTTCTTCCCGCTGCCGTCTCCAGCGCCGAACCATGGATTCATTCATGCCAAGCTTACGTGCGGCAGCACTGTTTCCCTCCTTTACTGCCAGATCGATGGCCTTCAACTTAAATGCGGCAACATATGAACTCATACGTGTAGTTACCATGATGGGGGGGCATGGATTTGAAAAAATTCTTCGTCGTGCCGGCTGCTTGCATGTGCTAAATTAAAATGAGCACTTTCTTCGATTTCCACTTTTGACTTCCACCTGTTTCACTTTCTGCTACAGCGCCCCCTGGCAGGTGAAGGAAAATCTTCAGTAAAGCCGCACCTACCTCATTATAAGCCGCATGGTTCAAAGCGTGGGAAAAAAGTAGCGGCTAATAGTCCAGAAAATACAGTACTTCATGTTTTCTATTAAAGTGATTTCCGGGTTCTCTGGGTCAGACAGTAATCAGGCCCAAATATGGCTGGTGACATTAAAAGCAGCTTTCAAAGAAAAAGCTTTAATCACAATCAATTTATGTTTTAACAAGGGTAGACAGTTATATTTTCACACTAGTTGGTTTGGATGGATATTTTTTCCAAAAAAGTGTATTTTGTATTTACTCAAATTATCTTTGACTGATGTTGGCGTAGTTTCTGACCAGAAAATTTGAATTGTGATGAACAAAATATAGACAGAAGAAATCTGTAAGGTAACAGATATGCATTGTGTCCATCTTAGGTTTGTTTCCTGTTGTTTTTTGAAAATTTATTCTTATTGGATGATTTTTGCCCAAATCTTAATTTTGCACCTGTTGAGAAAGAAACTTTTTTTCTACTATTTCTGCAAATATAATTCTGAAAATTGTGGACTCATGTCCAATGAACTTATTTCAAATTTGACTTTTATTGAAGTTTATTGGCAGACTGAAATGAGAATTGTTTTCTCTGCAAATCAGTATAATTTTGGGACTTGAATTGGCCTTTTGACCCCGTAAATATCAAATTTAGAAGCCTTTTTCTAGTTAGATCGTTCTAAGGGAGACAATCTATAAAAATATTATCTATAAAAGTCTTATATTCTCCTGCTTTGTGGGCATTTGATGAATCTAGTATACTTCCAACTGTTAGAAGTTTTGTTTGCGATCAGAATATTTATTAATTATTAACAATTTATTGGAATTGCCCATTAATTAATGAGTCGATCATGCTGCAATTTTTAGATTTCTCGGACCACACGCTTGTTTTTAAGGATTTAAAATTTCCGCTGTATCTGCAAAAGTTGTAAATAATTACACTGACGTGTCAAACAGATAATAACTTTAAAATGTTTCATGCCTCTTCTCTGACTGGTGTTCTTGATTATAGGCAATAGAATACATTTTTAAAAGAACAAACTAAACTTGAGAGGCTGTGGAATCACATTCTTTTCAGCTTTAACTGTGCCTCCAGTCCTTCTTTCACCCAATCCAGAGGTGAAAAAAGTCAACTAGCACTCACCTCACCTCATAAAGCTTCATGGCTCCGAATGCAGTCGTAACCGCGAGCAACTCTGCGGAGTATATTAACACTCGGCCACTGGACAGTAAAAGGAAAGTGCTCTAATGAAGCAGACTTTATGAGTAAATCAATAGAAAACATAAAAGCGAAATGTCCAAAAATAGGATTGTTAGATAATTTATGTCGTAGTTGAAATTACACTTATTTCACCACAAGTGACAAAAAGATAAAAAAGATATGAAAAAGAACTGACGATCCTGATATGATACAAAAGTCATTTTTATGTCAAAAACCTTTTTAAAACAGACGTTTCTCAGCTTGCTGTTCTGTGGTCTTCATGTCTGACTAATAATGTTTCTTCTAATTAATTCAAAACCAGGTTGTTCACTTGGAAAAGTCTTCCAGATGTAAACAGACACCAAGCGGATTAGCAGACTCTTAAGGCACAATGCAGAGATCCACATTAGCAACAGCTTTTCACTATATGATATGAAAAATAAATGAGCATTTTGTGTTTTTAAAGAGCTAATTCACTGAAAACACATTTTTGACTTGTTATTTTTTAAATGCAATCAGTCCCTTTGAGTTTGACATGCAGGCTCAATGTGAAAATAGTCTTCTACGACTATTTCCTGCATTACCGCATAAAGCAGGGCCATTCAATTCAGGGCCTCGAGGGCCGGTATCCAGCATGGTTTAGTGGATTCTCTAGTCCCACACGCTAGATTCAGTGGTTAAATCACCGGTGCAGCAGCTCATCAGGCTCTGCAGAAGACTGTTAATCACCTGCTGATTGAAATCAGGTGCATTGATGCAGGGTTAAAACCAAAACGCGCTGGATACCAGCCCTCGAGATCCGCAACTGAATAGCCCTGCCTATAGACACCAGAGAGGAAACCCCTTAGAACATACAGACCTATGTCACACTGTAAATTAGTATTCATGGACTCACCCATGTTGGCTCGCAACCACGAGTGTAGAATTTTGCAATCAGGAGAAAGCAGAGCTCATCTTGGCTAGTAGAAACTTAGCGTTAGCAACTCCACAACACGGTGGAATAGGTTCAGATTTGTGGTATTTGTGGGGATAAAATATCACTGTTGCAGAGAAAACGGAGACAGTGGAAGAGTCAAATTGTTGTTAGCCAATCAGAAGCAAGATGACTGCATATCACAAATATTCATGAGTAAGACTCCAAATCCAGCAGTTTTCAGTTCTCCACTTCTTCAGCTAACTTCTACTTTGACACAAATGACTCAAGGCATTCATCCATACTAGAGACAACAAATGTAGTGAAAAAACAAGTGTGGAGCAGGCGGAGGGAGACTAGGGGTCTTAGCCACCTCTGTTGTTGTTGGGCTTCCTGGGGCTGGAGGCTAGGAGGGAGATCTGGCCGTCTGGTTGGGGTCTGGGGTGGTGGGTTGCCGTGCTCAGCGTTGGGCGGGGGAGCCTGCTCATCAGCACCCCAGCAGAAAGGGTCAAACTCTGGTTACCGGTGATGGTTGTACCCAATGTGCAGCAGTACTGGGACCAGAGTGAATAGGGTGTGTATGGGGAGCATGAGTGGGTGTCCGGCGTGCATTTTGTTAAGTCTTGGGTTGTATGTGCATGTGTGAGCATGAGGGAGGGAGCGTGTGACTGTGTTTGTGTATGACTGTATATGTCAGGTGGGGCCTTTGACTCCTCCCCTCTCCTGGAACTTCTCTTGATGATATAGATCTCTGTCCCCCCCTCCCCCTGCCACACCTGGTGTGGTGGCTTGTGCCTTGGTCTGCCTGAGTGTTCGTGGCAACCGGGTCTGGGGGTTTAAGATTTTGGCATCTGCCTGATAGATCCCGGTGGCTGCCTGGTGGGGTCTGGGTCCCTGGGCTCTGCTGGGTCCCCGGCGGGGGTGGTCGCCCCTGGGTCCCGGGTCGCTGGGTCCCGGGCTCGGCCGGCTAGGGGGTGGGAGGCTGCGGGCGGGCCTGTGGGCTTGCCGCTGATATCTCCAGGGACTCTGCCGGCTGCTGGTTGTGGCCCCCCGGGGCGATCCTCTGTGCCTCTCGAGGGGGGCGGGGGCCTTCCTGGTTGCAGTCTCCTTGGGGTTCCTGCGTTCTGGGGCAGCGCCTGGATCTCTGGGACTTGGAGCTCCCCCCGTCTCCTGCGCATCTTTGGGGGGCGGATCTGTGGTCCCTCACACTCTCTGTTGGACGCTCCTATAGAGAAACCTTAAATAAACAAGCGCGTGTACACACACAGGTGCTCACATGGTGCTCTCAAAAGTATGGACTTGGGCACGTTAAACACATGTCTTAAGACTATGGTGGACACTTAATGCATTGTGATTTATTATCATGATTCTTCAGTTAAGCAATGTTGATTGTATATATATATATATATATATATATATATATATATATATATATGTTGTTTTTTTTCATCAAGTTGACGCAGTGATAGCTTGATCTTGTTGTATTGTTGTTGTGTCCCTTTTTTTGTGTCCTTTTGTTTTTGTTTTTTTTTTTGTCTTTTTCTGCAGGTCTAGAAGCAGACTCTTGTTCATCATTGTTTATTTCTTGTGGACACCCCCCCCCCCTCCTCTCCCCACCTTTTCTTTTCCTTTCTCTTTCACCTCTGTCTCCGTGTCTGGTCGGAATTACAACGCATTCAACAACAATAACAATAAAGTTTTAAGTATCAGGCGTGACATTAAAAGCAAATGCTTTGATGCTCCACCTGAGAATAAATCTGTAAGGCTTGTCACCAACATTCAGACATCAATTCTGCTTGCTTCACAGCCAGACAGGACACGGTAATAAAAAAAAAAAGAAAGAAAAAACAAGTGAATGGGAGCTTTAAGAAGAAACATTCAGTACAATCAAGAATTATTAGCATTTCTATGCCATAAAACACACTAACAGTAAATTTCACTTCAATGATCCAAAAAGCAGCTCGCTGATGGTTTTGTTATTTAGATTTTTATTTATTTTTTTGCTGACAGGGTTACGATGACAGATACGATGGTGAATACGACGAAGATGGTTACGAAGCCTACGACGAGGACTACAACAGTCAGTCAAAGAGGTAACGTTAGTAAACAAACCAGTGTACAGCGTCCGTACGGTGACTTATTTTCATGTTGTGATATTAAAGTGAAAAATTTACTAGATAAAAACTTGAGACTGATTAGTTGGTCCAGATAGCTCCCCCGTTTATTAAAAACATATCAGTGAGCGACACAAGCAACATGAGCACAGACAGCAGTAAGTCCCAGATTCAGCATCTTGCTACTGAAGATCCTCACTGGAGCACCTAATGTGTAATGAATTAATCCACAGATGAAAATAGTCTTAAGCAAATGTTTTATTTGCACATCCTTGAGAGGAAGTTTCTAAACTCGACACAGCCCATCTGTTGTAGGACTATTGAGTCCTTGTATGGAATAAACTACACATTTATGTAGCTTCGGCGGCTCCGCTGGGTTCAGGATTACAGACAGTGCTGATAAGAAGGGGATGATAGGAAAACTGGCTTTTTTGCTTTGCAGAATTCTGCAAACATCATGTCTGCTTTGGTGTGTTACTTAATCATACTTGAGCTGATGCTCTGTTCTGTTTTATTCAGCATTTCAGAGTATTATGAATACGGACACAGCACCAGTGATGAATCCTACAACAACTATGGTGAGTGCGGCTGATTATGTCCTCGGAGGATCTTTGTTTTTGGTGCGTTGAAGATCAGTGACCTAAATATGAGTCACCCTCATTTTCATGTGTCATCCTTTTTGTTTAATACAGGCAGCCGCTCAGTGTAGTGTTTAATCTAGCACGAGTGCAGCATAACCCTACGATTAAAGCAGAAAAATGGGTTGATTATTTGATTAGACCATCTATAAAAATGATTTGGGTACTTTATAGAGGCTTAATTAAGTTCTTTATCACGCAACAGTGCCTCACCATGTACCTCGCTCCTAAATCTATCAGGACTAATCAAAAATTAAAATATGAGTTCACTGCTGCTTCACACGCTCAAGTCTATAGGAAGGTCTAGTGTGAAGCTGTGCTGCTAACGAGCCAGCACTGTTGTTTTTATAAAAGAAAACAATTCTAATTATCTACTATTATTGCTGGTAATTAACCGCATTCATGAGGAGAGTGTAGGATTTTATAAACGTCCGCATTAGCTATGTTGTTATTTGAAAGGCACGAGACAAAGAAAAATCCAGCTCCAGCCCACTTCCTGACCCAGGGAGCCATGCTGCATGCATCAACCCTCCTACCTGCTTGGTTATGAGATGCACCAACTAAAGCCCTGAATGTGCCGGTGGCAGCTCGTGAAGCTAACCGGCGCCTGCTGAGATGCTGTTTTGCCTTTTGGGTATGTGCCCTCAAAGGTCTTTGTCAGAAAGCTCTTCTAACCTCTGCTGTGTGCACATAAATCAATCTTGGATATATCTCCAAACAACCAGATATTTTTTAATACATTTTTTTCTCTTTATCAAAGAGACCACCAATTTTCAAAGAAACTCTCTGAAGACTTTAGCAAGAAGAGCGTTAATGTAAGCACAAAGGTCACTCAGGAATTCAGGTGCAAGGTGTTGGTAGGTGGGTGCTGCTGCACATTTGAAGGTTCATTTATTCACAGGATTTTTTTAAAATCACCGAGGTGTCGAGGTTGACTCAAACCAAAACCAAGGGAGATATGATTTTATTTTCTGCTACATAAATACTCTCTTATTTGTAAACGGCGCAGAGTGCCATACAGCAAAGATGGCCATCTTTATGTAATTTAGCTCAGAGGAAAGAGCCGTTAATAGTCTAATCTCAGAAATGGTTCAACAAAAGGGCAAAAAGCTCATAAAATTTATTTCTTGCTAAGAGAAACCCCTGCAGTTCCTTAGAAATAATTTGCAGCCAGAATATCTTGTCGTTGCGTGCTGAAGTGCACCGTAAAAGGCTCAAATACAATACCATTGCCCCGCAGTTAGCTGTATGACATGAAATTTCTTACCACGGTAATCAAATCATATTTCCTCAACGTGTCTAACGTTTTTTTTTTTTTTGCAGAGGAAGAATGGACGAGCATCCGAGTCGGGCTGAAAGCTCCTGCTCTACGGCTGACAAGAGGCGGCTACAGAAAACATCCGTATGGTAGATACTGAAGGTGCTCCACACTTGTGATCTCCTACTCTCTTTGTATCTTTTTTTTGTTCTCTTTTAAATTTTTCATAAGACGCTGTAACATTCACTTTATCGCCCATCAGCTTTTAAAACAAACAGAAACAAAATGCAAAATCCAACCTCTTGTGTTATTCTGATGTTAATTCATCTAGGGTTGTCCTATTTCAACAATAAAACTCATATTCATATACAGGAAGTTTGTGATCATAATTAGCCATTTTAAACTATGTCCATTCTCCCTAAATTAGTGATTTCAGTATTTAGGCGGTGCACCGCAGATTTCTTCATACAGGTGATGTTTGTGGCTGTGACAGATTGGTTTCCATTTATTGCCTTTTGAACAGTGATAATTAAAAGGTTCTCAAGCCTACTTTTTCTTTTTGTGCTGGGTTAGTCATTGTGTAACTTCCTTGAAAAGCAAAGGTAACTTTAGCCTCCTACGCTCTTTGCTGTGCTCCTGTGTGCCAGATTAATTATAAAGTCAGAGAGGAGACAAAAAAGAAAAAGCTTTTCCCTGTTTTTACTTTTTAGGACATCTTGTGCTGTGTGTATGTTGTGAAACTTTGCTTAAATGTTATTATCACATATGAATATAGCAACAGAAGCTCATAAATCCCCTGGTAATGCATGTCAGGGTCAAGATATCACACTGCTGCTACAATGGCATGAAGGGAGGACATTCTGCAGACTGTTTTTGTCCAATTATTATGAAATAAAGTGGTATTCATGGGATTTATCTCTTAAATTACCACTTTTTAATTGCACTGCAGAGGTTCTGGAAATATAAAAGAAAATAGTGTTTCAGTCCAAGTCCTTTTAGAGCTTCTGTGTTGGACAATGTGGACAATAAATGTGTCTCTGTGAATAAAAGAGAGCTGTATCCATTCTTGCAGAATCTGAAACAGCATCCATCTTGAAATCTGGTGCGTGGTCGTAAACCATCTACATATTTATTAATTTGTCAAGTGACTAGATATTCACTGTTGCAAGGTAAAAGCATTATTTCCTGATATCGGAGTCTGCAAATGTTGGGCTGAAAGTGTCACCCATTCCTCTCATGTCAGTTAAGCTAAAGAAATTAATTAAATGAATGTCTGAATATGCAGCAGCAAGATAAGAACTATTTAAACCAACAGATGGATGTTTTTTTCATTCTAGTAAGGAAAATATCCCATTTGTTCATGTATAGCTGTGCACTTGAAGACATGAAATGTTGAATTTTCATTCAAACTAGTTGCTTAAAGGAGCAATATGAAATAATTCAAAGATGAAATTGTCACAAAACAGTCAGTTGGAAGGAAGGTTACATTGAAAACAATTTCATTCTAAGCTAGCTGGGAGGTTTTCAGTTTTTCTTCTTTCAAAAAACAGAAAGGCACATAGTCACTGTTTATAAGTGAGGCTGTGAGGTTGCTGAGTCTGCACCAAGCTAACGCTGAAGCACAAGCATTTGTAGCAGGCAAAAAGCTCCAGGGTGGTTTAAAGAACTAAAGCCAGTAAACAGGAGTGACCCAGAAGTTATTTCTTGTACCCTTAAGCAGCCGCGGCATCTTTTTGTTTTACTCTAATATCGGTTGAAGCAGGCTAGAAGCTAATGTTGAGCTAACAATGCTAATGGTGAATTAGTCCGCTTTAAAGATATCTCAAGCTACTTTTTTAATTACCAACAACTCCAGTGAAATGTATGTGTGAAGTGAAATATGAGTCAACAGTGGCGTTTTACTTCCTTTAATGAGTCGTTCAGAACTATAACAACAAGATGGCTAACAACAACAATTCCTACATTGCTGGGGGCATATTAGCTTCATAAATGTAGTGAGTGCTCCCTACTGTAAAGCACCCAAGAGTGCAAGCAACAGATTGGACAATTCATGTACTTACCAACTTACTGCACGACTCATCTTCTCTTGTCATCTAGAATCTTCTGGTGCTGATCTGATCTGTAATTGGCAACAGGAAACTCATGGAACCACAGTGAGAGTAATTTTTTGCTCAGATTTTTTGGTTACTGGGCTGCAGTAACCAACTTTGACCACTGGATTTCATTCTTACTCCATTCTTACATTTTTCACATTAAGCAGTAAATGTATATTACTCTTTACATTTAAGCAATTAGATTTAGTGGAACCAGTTGACATAACGTAGTTAAATAAATTCAACATGTCTTCTCTTAGAGTGTACTTCAGCCACCCACTGGGGGCATTTTGGTTTCTTTCAGGCTAAATTTCAACATTACATTAAAGTTATTCTGTGTTAACGGTTTAAACCAAAAAGGGTTTGTTCCCACTGATTCCAGCAGGAAATAAAAACTCAAGTCTACAGAATTAGATTTGAACTCTTGACATTTTTCTGAGTGGCCTCAGCTGTGTTTCCACCATAGGAGTTCCGGTGACAGGGAAAATACGCTTGCTCAGTCTTTGCTAAGACATATTGCTACAGTTTCAACAGTGAGTGATGTCACTGATCAGCACCAAAGGGCGTCGACGAACATTAATAACGGTAAAATTGTTATATTCTGTCACTTTACGCCACAATTTAATCCACTCAGAGTATGTGCAGAGCAGTTGTGTGATATAAAAATCAGTGTTCAGTGACCAGAAGAAGCACAGTTTTTATGGTGCTCTGTTGGAGACCACAAAGTGTGTAAATTATGGCTTGGGGGGGGGGTATTTTTTCAGCATTGGGAGCTTTGAAACAGTGATTTTAAAGCAGCGTCAACGCTGCTTATTTTCTTTTCCTTCCAATCTGCTTCACCAGCAACATTCCATTCCAATCTTGCAAATGTTGGTTGTTTGGTAACGTCTGCCACTGTATTCCTAGTTACAACCAATCAGCATGAGTTAACCACAAGTCCTGCCCAGTGACTCTACCAGGCCTTTACGAGTACACACTCCAGTTCAGGTACTCAACTGATCCCTGAAATGACCCGGAAGTACCCAAAGTTCTGATAGAGGAATCAAGCTTATAAGGTTGACGTTACATTAAACATGAGTTTGCATGAACTTGAGAAAGTTAAATTAAAATTTAAGAGATTGTTCGAGGGTTAAAAAGAAATTGGGAAAATGTGTTGTGATTCATGCATTCTAAAGGTTATTTTAGAAAAATGTGAATGTAGTGTACACCGCAACAGCTTGGTTGACAATGTGTTGTTCTGTGGCTCAAATAGCGTCTCAGATCTTTGTTAAATTTCAGCCTGACTGCCTCGTATTCTTAGAAAAATGTGTCTCTTATAAAGCCGATCCTGCAAACTCTCTGCTTCCTTGATGATTTCAGCTGTTGCTTGATTTGCAAAAGCCATTACCATAGTAACACACCTCCAGACAAGCACACTTTGCCCTGAACAGAAATAAAATGGTAGACTCCATTAAATGCAACAAATGGAAACCAATCCTTTAAGATTTGAAGACTTGAATGTGTCTAGATGAGCTAAAAATCTCTAACAGAAATGTTAAATGTTCTGAACTTTTAAATTAACTTCAGATTTCACCCTAACTGACTGCTTCATTTACGTGACTGCCATTTAAAACAAAAAAAGACGCTTGTTTTTTGTTTGTTTTTTTTAAATAATGAGAATGTGAGATTGTGATTGTGCAAAAACATTTTGCCTGGGTTGAAAGCAGTCACAAATCCACAGTATGTAATTTCTAAAATGTGCTTTGTTCTGTGTGTATTCTGTATTTGTACATAAAGCATTTAATAAAAATAACATAAACCTCAACCTAGTGTGGAAGACTTAATAAATAACAGGCAGCGGAGTTTTAAATAGGTACTTTTATGCCGTTTGTTAATAATCCTTGTATCTAAAATTTCACATTTGCTCTTTGGCGACAGCTAACATGTTTTATAAAGTCCCCAAATGAATCACTTGTAAATTAATTTACCGGTATATTCCTTCCTGTTCTATCATCACTGTAAATGTCATCATTATTTAGAAACTAATAAACTTCTTCCCTCAACCCATTCTCTCAAGTGTTACATCATAAACAGACATTGATTCGCGCTGATACTGTTATAGAGTTTTAGAGGTAAGAACTCCTCGTATATTTACGTAATAATTTCTTAAATATGCTCAGCACTCGACGCTGGCGCAGGAGGAGGCTCTAGACATTGGTGTTGATACTCTTGTAGTTTTTTTTACTGGAAAAAAAACCATAATCTTCAACTTTTTTCTATGTTGCTTCTTACCTCTTTTGTGCATTTCTGTAATTCACTCTGAATAAGCTGTCTGTGCTCTGGAATTTCCTGGTTTTTTATACTAATCCCCAATTCTATTCAGCGGTTTGAACTCTCTTTTGTGATTAGCACACCTGAAGCCTGACTCCGTTTAAGAGTGTAGATCATGGGACTGAAAGGAAGACTAAACACTAAGCAGGTAACCCTAATGCTAATCCTAACTTATCCTAGTACGTCCAAATAAGACAACAAGACTTCTTTCGTTTCTTGAGGACGTTTCGTTTTTCATCTGAGGAACTTTGTCAGTTCTAACTGGAATTTGCAGAGTATCGTTCTATTAACTTGTAGTACTATATGACCTGTAATAACACGTGAATCCCCCTCTTCCATACTCTCTGAGAAGTCCTTTATATTGTTAGGCCCTGTTGTGTTGGACTGGTCCATTTGAGAGACATTTGGTCAGACGCAGGAAGGTGAAAAATAGACTTAAACTGGGGATTAGGAACAAAGCATTGCTGTTAGAGAGGCAAAACATGTGGCGTCCTTCATCAAATGTTGATCTCTCCCGTTTGACGCAGATGGCATTCTTTACTCATCTCTCGAACCATCTATCTTCTATGTCTTCTGAACATTATCGACTGGCTCTCCTGTTTTGCGCCATGCATTTTTGTTGTTCTGTTTCTTCTGTAGGTCTGGTCAATCCTCCCTGCATTTGGACTGCATGTAAACACCGCTAAGCTTTTGTTTGTACGTCTTGTGCTTCCGAGTAAATGGTTTCTGTCTCAGGGTGTCGCTGGGATTAAAGATCACCGGGATTTGTGTTCTAGAGACTTCTGGCCCAAGTGGGATGGTATAGGCATTTAGTGCCTGCTGTCCTTGTCTTCTCCATTTGCTGCTGTGGAGTCATTCCCAGATTTCTTGGCCAGTTTAATATTTTATACCCCTGTGGTTCCATTCCCTTCTTTTTTCTTTGGTCTTCATGGGAATTTTCTCAGGCAATTGGACTAAAGTTGCAACAACTGACAGTTTGTGCTCCAGTGCGTGACACGAGTCACGATAGGTAGGGTTTCTGGTAGATCTCAATGCCAAGACTTCCATCCTGTTAAATTTGCAGAGTGCAGAAGGACTTAGAATGGTAAATGGTAAATGGCCTGTATTTGATATAGCACCTTCTAGAGTCCTGAACCCCCCAAGGTGCTTTACAACACAATCAGTCATTCACCCATTCACACACACATTCATACACTGGTGGGGATGAGCTACGATGTAGCCACAGCTGCCCTGGGGCGCACTGACAGAGGCGAGGCTGCCGAGCACAGGCGCCACCGGTCCCGCCGACCACCACCAGCAGGCAACGTGGGTTAAGGACACAACGACAGCGACAGACTGAGCGGGGCTTGAACCTGCAACCTTCTGATTACGAGGTGAGCGCTTAACTCCTGTGCCACCGTCGCCCACAAGAAGAGCAGTTTGAGGTTGTGCACACCCTCCCTAGTGAACTCAATGTTCTTGTCTGACCTCATTAGAACGTTTGAGGAAGCAGAAATACAGCATTGAACTCTTGCAAAGGACCATCACCAAGCCACTGATATGTGGATAATACATAAAACTTGACATCCCACATAATCCAGTTAGAATTGACAAAGTTCCTCGAAAGGGAAGCAAAGCACCTTCAAGAAACTAAAGAAGTCTTGTGTCTTTATTTGAACCTACTAGGATTACCGTGACCTGGATGACTGAAAACCTTCACCAGCATAATCTTAATATAATTACCAAATGCTAACCTCCACTTTAAAAAAAAGTAAACCTGCTCGTTTTAACCCGAAAATAAATGCCCCCCACCATCTCTAACTAGACCCTTAAGAAATTCAGCTAAACTGTTTTAAAAGGAAAAACTAAATTTCAATAAAAGGCTCTAAAATACTGAACATCACACCAATGGAATAAACAAATTTCTCATAAAATGTATTTTTGTTTGCCTTGAATTGGTTTACTTTTTTTCACAGTGACGAACTGTAACAGCTATGTGTTGTGTGTGTGCATGTGTATGTGTGTGTGCATGTGTGTGTGTGTGTGTGCATGTGTGTGTGTGTGAGCGTGTGTGTGTGTGTGTGTGTGTGTGTGTGTGTGTGTGTGTGTGTGTGTGTGTGTGTGTGTGTGTGTGTATACTGCATGCAGCCTGTTTGTCTAAATGTGTTGGTGTTGATCAAGATCAATGCAGCCTTCGTGACAATCATCTGTTCTTCCCTTTAGATACTGAAACACACTACTGTGTGTTTGGTCAAAGCAGAGAACACAGCAGGTGAGTGAAGATGTATGCATTTACATCGGTACAACAGTCTGTGTATTTTAAACCACAGATGTCAGTTTGAAACAGATTGAAATCTCCGTCTGCTCTCTGTTGATAGGATATGCACACAAATATACGCGTGTCCATGGATCACATAGCTGATCACTAAGCAGCTTTAATTAGATTTTTATATTTAAGACTGTGTGATTCTGCTCTAATGCAGTTTGTCATGTTGCTTATGACTTTGCATGGAATAGATGTGGAGGCAGTCTTTGTACAGGAGCTGCTGCTGAAAGAGCATCAACTTGAGGGCTATTTTGAAAAATAATTGCTGTTCATTTTTTATCCATTTCATTGTCTGTAAATGTAGCACCTGTGTTTTTCTCTTAAAATCTGACACAAGCATGCAGAAATCAAGGTATTTGAGGAAAACTAGCTACTATGCTGATTTATTTTTTGCTTTTTCTGTCTCGTTATATAATGATGCAATCAGCAGCTAAACCTCTGGGATTTTTGTGATTAAAAGAGGCATGCTACTTACTTATAGCAATGCTTTTAAAGTAACACAAAACTGTTTCCTGCTACACTGCCCTACTGGTTGAAAGTGGAATTACAACTGTCGTAAATAACCCTGCCACAGCAGAGTAAGGTCTAGCTGCAGACGCAGCCCCGACAAAACACGCCCCCATGTGCCTGTTGAGCTTCCCCGAGCTCCCCTGGTGGTCAGAAAAGGGAAATATCTCAATAACGGCAGCCCTCCCAGCGGGCGGGGAGAGCTTAAACCTGGGTCGGATCCAGGGCGCAGCATCCCGCTGTCTAGCATAAGAGCTAAAAGCCATAAAGCAAATAAAGAGTGCCCCCTAGGATACCTACCCGCTCCACAAGACTATCAAGAGAGGTTTTTGGTCAACAGAGGGCTGCAGAGTGGTGTAAAAATATGAAACTGGTCAAGCTTTTAACCCAACAGTCCCTGGGATCAATGTAAAACTCTGAAAAACTATCTATTGTTACTTTAAAGCGGAATTCTGGAGTTTTTTCCCAAAAGGAACACTCTTCATGAGAAAAAAGGTATTGCACTTTTAACCCCCTATTCCTAAATCTGACATTACAGTTGGAAGCAATTCCTCTAATTTGTAAATACGCACTTCTAGCCGAGAAACAGAGCTAACACACATAGCCTATTTCAAAGACTTAGTTGTCCATAAGAAATGTCGCCAACCCTGCATCAGTGGAGGTACGTCCCCAAATACATGAGCATGCTTTCTGATTTACATCAGTACGTTAGCAGGTGTCTGAAGCTATTGGCTAATGCTGAGCGGTGCTCAATTCAAATTGGATGGGACTCTACGGAACGCAAACATCAAAAACATAGGATGTCCAAGGAAGGTCCCTCCTTTCTTCCCTCTGATTGGCTAAAAGGGCTCTCCTCTGATTGGTCATTTCATTTAGCAGAAATCTTCCTTCTCTCTCTCTAAGTGCAGACATTTTTTGTCCCGTTTTATTTCTGCAGCCAGATTTTGGCGAGTGTTGTGAGGAAAACTTGAACTTTGCGCTATAATAATCATTCTGTCCTGTTTTAATTGTTGGCTCTAAAGCATTTAGGTTATCTTACTAGATTCATATTAGACTATCTTATGTTTTAACTTTAATAGGTTAAGGCAGTTTGCAAGTTAATCGTGTATCATTTCTATCACATCCTACTTTTCCAATATTTCCCTAAGGGAGGTAGACTTAGCAAAAAAATTGTCTTATTGCCTACGTCACAGTAAAGGGTAAGGCCTCATTTACCCTGAGTGCAGAACATATGCGTATTGGAATTCATGCGGCTTCTGCAGAGACTGAAAATTACTGAGTCCAGTCAGTGCATTTACACTGTCTGCGTACGGTGTGGAGCAGATCCAAATGTGAAGCTGCAAAATCTTTCCTTAGGTTTTCTATTTTATCAATGCCGCATGCAGATCATTATGAAATTCAAGAAATTACATGAGCCAGACAGGTAAGGAGACTTGGTGCAGCATGGAACAGCAGTAGCCCAGGAGGTAGAGCGGGTTGTCCAGTAATTGGAAGGTTGCAGGTTTGATCCGGGCTCTGACCAGAGAATGCTGCTGTTGTGTCCTTGGGCAAGACACTTTACCCACCTTGCTTACTGGTGGTGGTCGGAGGGACCGGTGGCGTCAGGGTTCGGCAGGCCTCGCCCATCAGTGCGCCCCAGGGCAGCTATGGTTACATCGTAGCTCATCCCCATCAGCGTGCAAATGTGTATGAATTGGTGAATGACTGTGTTGTGAAGCGCCTTGGGGGGTTGTAGAACCCTAAGAAGGCGCTGTACAAATACAGGCCATTTATTTATATTTATTAAAATAAAACCCTTACATATTTTTTCCAGTTTCTTTTGTTGTCATTAATGAGTGGCATCAGTTCTCAGTCTGTGATGGTTTGAGACAACGAGTTCGTTTTTAGTGTACCAGCTCCTCTCTATACACACAGTTGTGTGAACTGGCAAGCTGTTTTCTTGGTTGTTATGATAAAAATTGTCAGTTAAATATAGCATATAAGAGACACACACGGTGATATTTAAAAAGTAAAATGAAGTTTATAGAATTTACAGAAAGTGTGCAATAACTACTAAAAACAAAATTAGGCAGGTACATAAATGTGGGCACTGTTCTCATTGTATTGATTCCAAAACCTTTAGAACTAATTATTGGAACTCAAAATTGTTTTGGTAAGCTCAGTGACCCTTGACCTCCATACACAGGTGAACCCAGTTTTGAGAAAGAGTATTAAGAAGGCCAATTGTAAGTTTCTCTCCTCTCTCCTATATTCTCCTATATTCTCTGAAGAGTAGCAACATGGGGGTCTCAAAACAACTCTCACATGACCTGAAAACAAAGACTGTTCACCATCATGGTTTAGGGGAAGGATACAGAAAGCTGTCTAGGAGATTTCAGCTGTCTGTTTCCACAGTTAGGAACAAATTGAGGAAACTGAAGGCCACAGGCACAGTTCAAGTTAAGGCTCAAAGTGGCAGACAGAAAATCTCAGATAAACAGAAGTGAAGAATGTTGAGAACAATCAGAGTCAACCCACAGACCAGCACAAAATACCTACAACATCATCTTGCTGCAGATGGAGTCACTGTGCAGCGTTCAACTATTTGGCGCACTTTACACAAGGAGATGCTGAATGTGAGAGTGATGCAGAGGAACCCTTTTCTCCCCCCACAGCACAAACAGCTGATTGAGGTTTGCTAAAGCACATTTGGACAAGCCAGCTTAATTTTGGAATAAGGTGCTGTGGACTGATGAAAATAAATTTGAGTTATTTGGGCATGACAAGGGGCGTTATGCATGGAGGAAAAAGAACACAGCATTCCAAGAAAAACACCAGCTACCTACAGTAAAACATGGTGGTGGCTCCATCATGCTGTGGGGCTGTGTGGCCAGTGCAGGGACTGGGGATCTTGTTAAAGTTGAGGGGCGCATGGATTCCACCAAATATCAGCAGATTTTGGAGACCAATGTCCAGGAATCAGTGACAAAGCTTGTAAAGGAGAATGGTCCAAAATACCTTCAATCAGAATCCAGACTGTCATTGGAAGCTATAGAGGCTGTTATTTCTGTAAAAGGAGAATCTACTACAGGGGCGGATTTAGGACTGAAGAAGATCCGGGGCTTAACACACACACACACACACACACACACACACACACACACACACACACACACACACACACACACACGACACGCACTAGTCAACATCATATTTGTCTTGTACCACAATTTTTAATCTGAAGCTACATATTAAGCATTTTCAGGGCAGAGTATTGTTCCTGTTAGTGTTTAGTGTGAGATGATAGTAAATATTCCCTTTCTTTCTCCAACCACTTTACCTGATAGTAAGCTAACTTTAGGCAAACCATCAGCACAACAAATATTTTCAAATAAGACTCACAAACCTGAGTCAACACCAGTCTCATCAAAGCTGGGGTTCTGTCGTTGTACTTTTTGTCTAAAAAACGTCCTTATGTCCATCTTCACACATGCGTTTCAGGCAGAGAGTGTAGAAGAAGCCGGCTGCTGAAGGGCTTCTTCTTCAGTGGTGGAGGCTCAGGCAGGCTGCCAGCTGCTCCTCTCTGTTGGACTTTGGTACTGCATGTGACTTCCACGATTTAGATCCGGGGCTTTTCATAAAACATTCGGGGCTTGAGCCCAAGTAGCCGGGCCTAACGCCGCCCCTGATCTACTAAATAATGAGTTCATTTTTTGTGGTGCCCAAATTCATGCATCTGCCTAATTTTGTTTAAACTATTATTGCACACTTCCTGTAAATCCTATAAACTTTGTTTCACTTCTCAAATGTCACTGTGTGCGTCTCCTAAATGAAATTTACAACCAAAGATTTATACAGGAAAATCACAAAGATTAACAAGGCTGCCCAAACCGTCACATTCCACTGTAAACACACACACACACCTGGTGTAAATGAGGGATCAGATATCACTTTTACAGATTAAAAAAGATCATGCATACTTCTTGACAGGATGAAAACGTTGGATTACTGCTTTAAAACACACATTTATGAAGTAAAAATTGTGGAAAACGGAGCTGAAGCTTGTGAAAACTGCTGTGTAATATAGAGTGAAAACAGCTGACTGAGGATTTATGAAGTTCTCTTGAAGAGATGTTTACATGCACCTTGACTGGTGAGACTTTATTCATTGAAAAGTGTGAAAGAAAAGTTATATGATGCCTTTTCAATTCAATTTTAAACTCAATATAGCACAAATTCAGAGAACAAAGCAATTTAAGGGCATTTTACATAAATAAAAAAAACAGCAGCTTCTACTGAGCAAGCACATCTGTCTCAGTTTATGAGAGGTTAATGAAAGAGGAGAAAACAACAAACACAAGACAGCTGGCAGATTGGTGTGGCCGCTAACTGAATATCAGAAAATCTATTTACAAGAAGTGAAAATTTACATTAAAATATTCAAATCAGACTCAGGATGAGTAGAAAATCCATTAGCATTTTTTTCTTTAGGTTTTCCCACTAACCCCCCCCCCCCCCCCCCCCCCCCATTTGTTCATTACAGAGCAGAAAAAGCAACTTTCTGTTATTTAATCTTATTGTACCATTGAATGTGCATATTTTCCCTTTCCAAATGTCATTTCAAAGCTCTGCAAATACAGGAAAATTAATCCCTGTGGCCAAATACCTGCTGACCTGTTCATAATGCACCCCTTCCTCAGGCCTTGTTCCAAATGAGCACATCTTTTTGAAAATGTATCTCAGGCAGAACACCTAAATTGCACTATTGTGCTGATAATGCATACAAAGATTTATGAGCAATGCTAGCCTAGCAAAAGAAGCAATTTAGTCAAACGTATTTGTTGCAAAATAAATGTCCTTGGGAGAAATTTCACTTGTGGCATTGCTGTTTATTTGTGACATTCACATGGATGTGATAAATGTCTGTAGATTTAGACATATACGACAAACAACGTTGATCCGGTCTGCATCACAGGAACATTTTGTGTTTATTGCTACAATCATTTGAGGCTTAATAATAACACAGGAGGGGCTCTCAGAAATGGCAATCCTGCACCAAATTTCCAGAATATGTTCCAAACATGCAATGGGTTCACTCTTTGTCCATGTGCCACCTGTCTTCCATTTGTTTTAAATTAAATTTAGCCCAACAATTTTTGTGGTCTTGCTGAGAAATGGTGCTGAAAGCAAATGTTGATGCTGCCACAACAAAGAAAGAAACGATAAATAAACGATAAACAAGCAACAGTGTCTTAAAGGTGTGGGACACGTTTAACCAATACATTTGCAGGGGTCTCTAGCAGGAATGAATGATTTGTAAGTCGTACTCAAGGATAACAAATATACTGGTGCACCATTTCCAGGAACTAGAGGTGAGCCACATCACAGCTGAGCTTCAGACTGCAGGTTTTGGAGTCTTATTTGATATTTGGACATCTCGCATCAGATTAGATAACAGTAGCACGACTCTATCACTGATTTACGACGTTGATGTTTTTTCTCCACAAATAACACAAGCCTGGAGGAGTTTCTGCTGTGTGGTGAAGTTGCTAATGCTAAAAGTTAGTTTCTACTAGTTGAGATGTTCTCTGTTTGATTCTCGGACATTAAAATAACAACAGCCTACCCCGACATATGTCAAGATGGGTGAGTCCATAAATGTTAAGTGACAGTGTGACATAAATCTGTCAGGCTTTTCAAATCCTAGAGTTTCACTGTCTATTTTCTATCCGCAACTAATGCAGGAGAAAGGTGTAGGAGACTATTTTCATGTTCTGGGTTTTCAGTGTTCCACACAAAAAACAAAAATTAAAACGGTTTTAAAGCGTAAGAGAAAATTTTTGAAAAACAGTCATTCTGAGTTGCACATGCAGGCTAAACATGAAATTAGTCTTCTACCTTTTGCTGTATTAGATGTAAAACAATAATAGATGGAACGCTCAGGTTAGAAAAAGCCATAAAGATCTAACTCACATTGACAATTTGCATTTGTGGACTTGCCCATCTTGGCTTGCGATGGGGAAGCTGTTGTTGATTTAGTGGCGAGGGGAGAGCACATAGTAAGCATTAGCAACTCCGTTAGCATTGGCAACTCCACAACACTGCAAAACACATTCAGGCTTGTTATTTGTGGTGATAAAACATCAACGTTGCAGACCAAACCGAGGCAGTAGAAGAGTTTCCAAATATGACAAATATCAATGAGTATGAATCCAAGTCCTGCCTTTCCCCCCATCCCCACCCCCAACTCATCTGGCTGATTTCTACTTCTTGAAACTGGAGCGTCAGAGCTTTTTCTCCACAGAGAATGACTTGCAAGACATTCATTTATACTAGAGATTACAGCATAATTATTAAAGACATAAATATGATTTAATAAGACATCAGTGGTCTACTGGTGGGAGTGTCAGCCATGGGATTGGGAGATCAGGGTTCAAATCCCGGTTGGGTCATACCAAAGGCTTTACGAATGGGACCCAAAGCCACCCTGCTTGACACTCAGCTTTAAAGGGTTTGGCTGGGTGTTAAACATTAAATAGTGCCTGAGTGCCGCTGTGTCTGCAGCTCACAGCTCCCCCGGGGGATGGGTCAAAAGCAGAGAAAAATTTTCACCAGTGTGTTACGTCTAATGGGACTTTAACTTTCTTTATTCAAAAAATTTGTGAAAGAGAGTTTAAAAAAAACATATACCAAAACTTTTGTTTTATTGTCTTTGCTTCTTTAAAATTTGCACATATTCTTTTAAAAACCTTATTTGGTGACTAACAATTAAAAATATTAATTTTGTGATTAATGTTTTTTACACTGACGATCCTCAGATGTTGCTCAGCTGTTTTGTGGAATTGCACCACTTTGTTATGATCACACAACTGTAATGAGACGTGCCATATTTCTACCAAGCAATCTACTTTAATTAAGCTATTTTAAATTAATCAAGTACTTTATGTGTTCTTGTGCATCCTCCTAGAGCAGAAAGCACTGAAATCACCAAGCACAGGTCTGAAAATTGTCACCACATATGCTCCTCTTCCTCAAGAGACACAATAGCGTAGGGTATGTATTTATTGTTGTTTCCCATAAAGCGTCACTAAAAAAACATAAGCAGCCACCAACAGCCTTTCATTGAGCTGGAAAAGAATAGCCATTGAGTTCACTGTTGAATCCTTGTGTCAGCTTAATGCAAAATAAACAGGATGTCTTCAGTTTGGACTTGAATAGATTTTGTTGTCACACAAGATACTTTTCAAGGTTGTTTTCACTGAAGAGCATTATTGGAAATGGCGGTGAGCCGCAGGGCAACAATGAGCTCATCGTTCAATAAATTTTGCACAAAAGAAAAAAGTTAAGAAATGCTCGAAGGGGACATTCGGGAAGTTTAGAGCAAAAAGCAAGAGTCCAATTAGACAAAAAAATGGATTTTTGTAATTAGTTTAGTTTGCTGAAGTTACAACAGAAAAACCAGATAATTCATTAGCTGTGATTTAAGTTAGTACTTTTTCTTGTTTTGAACTTTTTGTAAATCACATCTTTGATTTGTTTTTAAAAGACAGCTTTCATGTTTTTTTTTTTTTGTTTTTTTTTTGCACCTATGAGTTGGAAGTGATCCGTGTGTCTGGAAGCTCTGCACGCCAGAAACACTTTCCGATTGATTTTCATAACAAACCTCAGCGCCAAATCCCCAGCCAGCCAAAAGCTGAAATTTCCCAGCCTGCCATTGATGTCGGTGGATTTCGCTAACTGAATCCTGCTAATAAAACTCCTCTAAATTACCAAGTTTTTTTTTCAAGACACGTTACTCTTGTTTTGTTTATTTCTTCATCTGAAAGAATGCCGTCTAAAGTGTTTAATGTCTTTGCAGCTGCCTTCACGTCACTTTGCCTTTATTCCATGCATGAATTCACTGTGACTCTTGTCCATCAGACAGAGCTGTGCTGCAGCCGCAGGCGCAATAAAACACTGACAGCTGCTTGTTTTGTTCATCTGCCAAGTTTCATACCTCTGGCAACATTTAGAACCCCCAACAAAAACACTTAATTAAAAGCACATTGATCCATTTAGCAATATCTCCCTCCTATGAATCTGTTATGAGAAGTAACCATAATCTCCACTTGTGTTTTTATCAGGCGGAGAAAAGGTCAGGCTTCATGAAAATCAAATCAAACATGATGGGAAAACCTGAAGAGTGACCCACAGGTGAGGAGGAGATTGATTGTTTTTGCTTCATCAGAATAAATAATGAAGTTTTTATTTGCTTGGACTTGATTCTAATCCATCTCCTAAAAAGTGCAACTGAGTTATGACTTGTTTAGATACAATGCATTAAATTGAATTTACAGTTTCAGGCTATAAATGTTGATTAAACCATTAAAACTCAAACGGTTTCCCTCGTTGAATCAATAAAGAGTCTGTCTGATTACCTTGACTGGACTGAACCAAGACTACAGGAAACTGATTTGTATTTACTTCAGGCTGAGGTTACCAAACTATGTTTACTCTGAATTATAAAAAATATTTAATTTCTTTATTAGGAATGTGTTCCAATTCGTTTTTGGCTGTATTAGTGGATTTAAAAAACCTCTAATTTCTCTCATTTAGAAAAAAAAATCTGTTTTATTTTGTAAAACCAGAATTTATTAGTCACTCTCTGATGGCAGTAAACACATTACTCAGATGTGAAATATGTAATTGCTTCTGCTTTGTTTAAAAAAATCTAAATTAGCCATTAGGGCAATAAAATGTTTTATTTTGATATTTCTGGTAATGTACTTTCTAATTATGACAAAACTCATTTTCAGAGGCACAAACACAAAAAGTATTAAATTCTGGCAACAATTAGTAAAATAATTTTTTACACAGCTGTAAGGATCATGTTTTAACTTATTTTGTTTATTCATGTGTGTTTCTTCTGATTGCATTATTCGTTTCTTTTTTTTTTTAAACAGGAACGGGTTGTTTTACCCTTTTTGCTGACAGTTTCGACCACTCCTGCGGTCTTCTTCAGAGCTAGCCGCTAATGGCAGCGTCACTTCCTTCTCTGTTTATCCTTCTCTGTTTATTGCCCATTTTGAGTATCCGCAGGTCTTTAAAGCCCATTCACCCATCCATCCATTTTCAGCCGCTTATCCAGGGTCAGGTCGCGGGGGCAGCAGCCTATAAGCCGAGACGTCCAGACTTCCCTCTCCCCAGCTACTTGGGCCTAGCCTGGCAAGCCAGACTAAATAAATGTATTATTTAGTCTGGCAACGCTCCATTGACGGCTCTCGGTTGTGGGGCGGGTTCTACCGTTGTCTTTCAAATGATCTCGGCATTCCACTGGACAATGAATGTGACATACTCTTGTTTCACTCTGTTGCACCATCCCACCCACCAGGCATATAGAGTGCCCTGATTGGCCCACAAAGAGGATAAAGCTCTGTGATTTGTTCACTAAGCAGATAGAGCACTATGATTGACCCACCATTATGGACCAATCACAGCTCTTTATGTGTTTGAAACCCCTCTAGAGAGCTGTGATTGGCCAGCCAGAATGCTGTTGGGGCTGCAGAGGTTCCAGTGGAGCGTTCCTAGACCAAACTTTGCAAAGCAAGAATTTGGTCAAGTTCACTAGGCTAGCTTGGGCCAGCTCTTCCGGGGGAATCCCAAGACGTCCCCTGGCCAGCCGAGAGACATAGTCCCTCCAGCGTGTCATGGGTCTGTGTTATGGCCAACAGCCTGGCCTCTTCAGGTGCAGGAGCCAGGATCATCCAGCCCCGGTGATCAGCCAGACACCGCCCCTCCTCCTCCTCTCCTCCAGGCTGCTGAGGAGCACAGCTGAGCTGAATCCCTCTGACGACCCACACCTGGGATAAAAAGGCGGTGCCTTCAGCAGTCTGGGAGGCAGCACTGTAGGGGTTCTGCTGTCCTCCAGGCCTCATTTTGTTTTGAACCCCTTCGATTAGATGAGTTTTAACTTTAGTAGTTTTAACTGTGTGATCCAAATGGATCTTTTGTTCTTGTCAACTTGGTTGACTCGGTTTTAAGGTTAACATCGTAGTTTACCGACTTTGGGATTTTAAAACACTCAGTGTTTTCTTAGTGCGTTGGTTTTTATTATCAACTTGTGGATTTTGGAAACATCTTCTGTTTGGTAAAACCTTTAATACAAGTTTTAACCAGGTGTTTTTAATGTTGGTAATTGGTCTTTTAACCTTTTAGTCTTGGTTTTTGTTTGGCATTATTTTAATAATGCTTACCATCTGTTTGCACTTGTTTTAGAACCTTTTTAAATCCATTTTAAACCCACTATCATGTTTCTCATGTTACCCACTCCTTCATATTTTAACACCTCCTGTTGGGGACGTACCATGAATAAAAACGATGAGTCTTTCTTAAAAATTATGAAATTACATTTGGAACTCCTGGACTCAGCGCCTAAAGGTGGGATGCTCCAACAGGCCTGTAGAGGCAAAGACTAAACCCAAAGCGAGAGGATTTAATCCACTATCTCAAATAATAATAATACCCACTTCGAGGAAGAAAACAGTCTTTTTCAAACAAAAGGAAAGGAAATTTAACCCTTATGGGAGCTAAATTACTAAGGTGGTTTGATAACACACGACAGGTGTGGCAGAAATCCCAAAGGCCTCACTCGCAAACAAAACCAGTGAACTCTAAAGGCCAAAAGGGAGAACTCAACAAGTATCTGTTTATAATTAATACAAAGGTTCTCGGACCAACAAAGGAAGCCGACAAATGTGTAAAACACAATAAATCTAAGGAGTCTAAGGAGGAATATTCACGACTATTAAAAACTTAAGGAGACTACGGAGGATTAATTTCAAAGGAGCTTTAAACCACAATGAGTCTAATGGAAGGATGTGAGTGATGACAGTCTATTAATCAACTTTGGGATGAAATAAACTTCGTGGTATACATCACTCTCTGATCCCAGCACAAGGGTGTAGAACCCAACCACATGGGGAATGCTCTGGATGTCAGCTCAGGGATCTCTGGAAACTCTCGTTCCACCCATAAAAGCAGCAGCTTTTCCCTCTCGGCACCTCTCAGCGTCCTCTCAGTCCGGTCTCATTCACAGCTCTCCAGCTCAGCAGTTCCTTGCCACAACCGTTTTTTTCTATTTCCCACAGCTCCTCTCAGTCGGGCCTTATTCACCGCTCTCCACCGCTTAAATGTTTAAACTCTGAGTTGATGAGTTTTTACTAAAAGGAAAATAGTAGAACTCTGAGTGATCCAAAGGGATCTTTGTTTGATGTCAACTTGGTTGACACAGTTTTAAGTTTAACATCTCCTAGGGTCTCCTCCTAGTTCGACGTGCCCAATAAAACCTCACCAGGGAGGCATCCAGACCAGATGCCCGGGCCACATCAACTGGCTCCTCTCAACGTGGAGAAGCAGCGGGTCTACTCCGAGCCCCTCCCAGATGACCAAACTTCTCACCCTATCTCTAAGGCAGGGGTTCCCAAATTAGGGGTTCCCACAAGATTGCAGGGGGTCCCCACATTTTTGTCTTTGCTAATGTTGTGTGGTTAACAAGATTTCGTTTGAAAAAATACATATATAAAATCCCAATAACATAGCCTACAGGCTATTAAGTTTGGGCCTGGAGGGCCGGTATCCAGCACGTTTTAGTGGTTTATCTGGTCCAACACTTGATCCAGTGGTTGAGTCACCTGTGCAGCAGCTCACCAGGCTCTGCAGAACCCTGTTAATCACCTGCTGATTGAAATCAGGTGTGTTGAAGCAGGGTTAAAACTAAAACGTGCTGGATACCGGCCCTCGAGGCCTGGAATTGAATAGCCCTCCCCTACAGTATAATCAGAACTCCATATATAAGTTATAACTGTATAAAGATAGTAAATGATCACATTTAATGTGTGTGTGTTGGGGTTGGGGGTCCTGGCTAGTCTTGGACAGGAGCAAGGGGGTCCTCAAACAAAATGTTTTGGGAAACCCCGCTCTAAGGGGGAGCCCAGCCACCCTGCAGAGAAAACTCGTATACGGCCGCTTGTATCTGCGATTTTGTTCTTTCGGTCAGTAAAGCTCGTATAGGTGAGGGTAGGAACGTACGTCAACCGATAAATCGAGAGCTTTGTCTTCCAGCTCAGCTCTCTCTTTACTATGACGGATCACTACAGTGCCCGCATCACTGCAGATGCAGCACCAATCCGCCTATTGATCTCACGCTCCATTTTTCCCTCACTCATGAACAACACCTCATGATATGTAAAGTCCTCTTCAAGGTCTTTAAAGCGTTTTGGATGGGTTGGTCCTCTTGTTTACGGTCTCGTTCGTCTGTTATGTTCGCTCGGTGGTATAATATTCTGATCACTGACATTTTATGTATGGTAGTGTGTTCTGATGTCCATAATAAATGTTGGTCTGTGTGTGTTGGACACACAACCATGAATAGAGACAATGGGGTCTACACATTGGATTACACATGGGACTGTGTCATTGGCAAAGAGAGCGCGGACAGCGGAGGGCGACACCGTCTTCTGCTGCCTGCAGATAAACTAGACATTAGCCATTAGCAGCTAGCTGAGTGGTCGAAACTGTCTGCAAAAAAGGTAAAACAACCTTCATCTGTGTTTTTAAAAAATAACCGTTATGCTATCACGTTTTAACTGTTTATTTTAATTTTTGTAGCTAAAAATATTTTGAGATCAGTCACAAAATAGTGAAAATTTATATTAAAGCTCTCATTCACTTGTTTTTTTAATACATTTTCTTGCATCTCTTATGGGTCATTCTCTGTAAAAAAAAAAAAATCTGGTGCTCTTGTTTCAGGAAGTAGAAGTCAGCCAGAGGAGAAGTGGACAGAAAACAGCATTATTCATGATATGCTGACATATTGCCTCTTATTGGCTAACAGCAACGTAACTCTTCTACTGACTGTTCGTTCTGCAACGTTGATGTTTTATCTCCACAAGTAATACAAGCCTGAAGGAGTTCTGCTGTGTGATGGAGTTGTTAATGCTAACAGTTAGCTTCTACTAACCAAGGAGCACTTTCCTCTCTCCTGGCTGCAAAAATCAACACAGCCTTCCCGATTGTGAGACAACCTGGGTGAGTCAATGAATGCTAATTTTCAGTGTGACACAGATTTTTGTGGTTTTTTCTGACCCGAGCGTTTGCTTTCTTTTGACGGTGAGTGTAGGAAATAGCTCGCATGTGACTCTGAAACCAATCGTATATTTAAACTAACAAGTAAAAAAAACGGTGTTCTCCTGCTTTTTAAACCATTCTAAATGTGTCTTTTTTTAAAAGCAGAAAGGAGATAAGTTACTGAATGACATACATTTCTTTGGAAGATATGAAATGCCCTAAATAAAAAGAAATGTTAATATATTGTCCTTTCTGCCCGAGTGCGTTTTCCTCCTACAGTCCAAAAATATGCATTCTGGTTTAACTGCAGATTCTAAATTGATGGTGAATGTCAGCATGCATGATTGCTTTTCTCTCGTGTCTCTGTGTTGGTCATGTGGCGGTCCGTCCACGCTGTCCCTCGCCTGGCGCCTGGTGGGAGCCGCAGCGCATGCAGTCAAGAGCAGGATATGAAATGTAAAATGATTGAATGGACCGAATGAAAGCTCAGACGCAGCCTCTGACTGAGAACTGTGGAAACGGCTTCTTCTCACTGATTAGCAGCTTGTCAGCGACAATGGAGACCTGCCCTACTTTACTCTGCGTTGTTATCTGTTTGACAGACCAGTGAGAATTAAACATTATTTTTTTTACAATGTAGAACTGCTTTCATATTTTACCTGCATCCAAAGGGATGCAAACATCACACATTATAAAAGAGGATGCAGTGCTGGAGATGGATTTAGATCTTAAGCTGTTAAAGTGCTTAAAGAGACAATGTGCAGTTTTCACCACTAATCTTTGGAAATATTCATCGAAATGTTGTTGAAAATTAATTAAATGATGCCCAGGTGTTAAAAAAATTGGCGGCTTCATAACCATAAAAATCTGGTCTAAAATGCATGGGAGCGGGTCTAAGTCTAACATATTAGACACCATGGCTGTTTCTCAATGTCAAGGCATCTGGCCTGGCGAGACGATGTCTTGCCAGGCCAGGCGCCTTACTTACGAGGACACTGTCCGTCGTTGGTCAAAGAAAATGGTTAAATGGAACAGACTTGCATCATGTGACAGCAGCTTCCACGGCGGTCACGTAACGTCATGGGACACAGGAGATAACGTTATATTTTATACGTGTTAGTTTCAATATAAATATATAACAAGCCTTTTACTTTTTCAATTGTGTGCATGTTTATTAAATTAAAAATATATGTGATTTACTACCCGCTAGCCACCGAAGCTGCAACTAATAAGCAACTCACCAACAATAGATAACTTCTTTGGATCTATAAAATAACAATTTTTAATTAGTTGGTTTACTTTTAAACTTGAAAATTGTCACCGAAGTAGCTGCCGGTGTCGGTACAGGATCTGCTCGGGTGCAGGATCGGCTCGGGGTCCTTCGACTGCCGGTGACATCACATCACTGCAAATCTACTCGGCTTTCACACACACGTTTTGGAAAGACCTCAGCAGTTTTGTTAATAAATTCTTGTTTGTTACCACCTAAATGCTTCCTTTATAATTGTAATTTGTTAATAAAACACCATATTATCTTTGTTTTGTAAAGACTGAAACTGCGTAAAACCAACATCGGACTGACAAAAAATAGAACAGTTCTTATATGTGAAGCCTTATCTGTTTGTATTAATGTGGAGCTCGTCTGTACATTTCCTCAGTTGTTATCTAAATACATTCTTTGACTCAAAATATTGCTTGGTGTCTTTCAATAAAGTTCTTATATTTTATTTTGCCCCATTTCATCAACATCAAGAGCTTTTGAGGGTCACCGTTTATCATTTGCTTATATTTTACATTTCCTTTAGAAATTCAAACATATTTTCTCCAAAAACTATTGATTTTTGGACTACAGGACTACAACCGCTAAGACTACGACCGCAAATTTGTTCTGACCAATCAAAATCATAACGTGATAACGTAACTTCCGTAAGCTTCATGCTCAGCCGATCAACTACTTCGACATCATCGGCAGTCGAAGGACCCCGAGCGGATCCTGCACCCGAGCAGATCCTGTACAGACACCGGCTTCTGATCCGCCGTCCTTTTGAAAATACCGCAGTGTATTCTGGGTAATTTTTGACCAAGGCTAGGCTACAAGACACATCCCGTGTATCCTCGCTCAGCTAGCTAAACGGCTAACAAACGGAGAACACACGCCTCGGTAGCACATGAACATTGGAACATGCCTTGGCGGCTCCCGATGACGTATCTCCTAGGCAACCAAGGCAGGGCCAAGACATCAAAGCAAGGTTCCTTGGCATTAAGAAACACCCCATGTTTCCTTCTACGGGAGCTCATGAGGACAAAATGGATTTACTGATTTGTAACAAGCATTAAGTAAACTTTCACCATTCATAAACATTGTTTAACCATTTACCTCTTCACTCGTTGCCAGTAATGCAAGGGAGTCTGATGTGCTTGTCATTTTGCTGGAGGTTGAGCTCCCTGCAATTTTCTACCCTAATGGCCATCCGTTGGCAAGGTCTTAAACACAAAAATACTGCTAGAAGTTAAATTATGAAGCTAAATGTGTTCTTGTAGAAATGCAACATTTTTTGCTAATTCTACAATGTCCTACACTTATTTATAATCTGTGTGGTTGATTAAAGCGGAGGCTCACCAAGAAACCAGCAAGAGTTCATCATGCCGACTGAAATTGAAAATAGTCTTCTACCCCTATTTCCTGCATTGGCCACCACTCACCCATCTTGGCTTGTGATGGGGAAGGCTGTTGTTGATAGTAGAAGCTAACCGTTAGCCTTAGCAACTCCACAACATGGCAGAACTCCTTCAGGCTATTGTTATTTATAAAGAAAAAACATCAGCATTGCATTTTTTACCCAAGAAAGAAGAGTGAATAGAGGCAGTGGAAGAGCTGCGTTGCTGTCAGCCAACCAGAGAAGAGATGTTTGCATGTCATGAATAATAATGAGTAAGACTCATGATTCTGCCGTTTCCTGATCCCCACTTTTCTGAGTAAATTCTGGTTCCTGGAACATAAGTGCCTGGGCATTTTTTCTACAGAAAACAACTCACAAGGCATCCATTTATACTAAAGACCACAGCAGAGTGTATGCCTACTTTAAAGGGATTCTATTATATTTGGCACCCCTAGTGTCCGTTAGTGAAAGCAAAAGTGAAGTTTCTCCTCGCTGTGTGTTCGTCTTCTTAACACCTTAATCTAAATGCTGAAATGTCTCCCAACCTTCCTTAATGTCTAAAATATGCAGGAAACATGTGGGAAGCAGACTGCAGCGCTGGCATGTCAGTTCTACTTTAATAAGTCCAATAGGAACTCTGAAGTTGCAAGTGCGGTATTCTGACCACAGAAGGCGATAGGGGTCTGAGTGATATTTCATTAACCCAGTAAAGTATGGAACTAGGATTGGGACAATATTACATTTAACTTGTTCCTAGTTTTGTGACGTGAATGTGACTTTTGTTTAGTAGCATGTAATTCACGTTTTGTAACACGTAACTTTCATTTTGTAACAGGTAAATTTGTTTTGTTGTATGTATTTCTCATTTTGTAACATCTAACTTCAGTACGTAACATGAAACTTTTATTTAGTAACTTGCAGAAAAAAATCAATGTACAACTTTCAAAACACAAATCTCAGTATACAGTAACAAAACTCAAGTCTACAAGTACAAAACATTTTGTCCTAATTCTAGCTTGCTTCCAACAGGAATTGTCCAGGACAGGAATCCAAGACTCATGATTGGCTGGTCAGACAAAGCCTGTCATTGTTTCATTGGGAAGGAAGCTCGAATTGGGACAAAATATTTTGTACTTGTAGACTTGAGTTTTGTAACTGCAGACTAAGTTTTGTAACTGTAAACCGAGATGTGTGTTTTGAAAGTTGTGATTTGAAACTTGTACATTGTTTTATGCAAGTTACAAAATGAAGGTTTAATGTTATGTGTCAAATGTTACGCGTTACGAAACGAAAGTTATGTGTTACAAAACAAGAATTACATGCTACAAAAAGAAAGTTACAGTTACAAAACATGTTACAGGTTACAAAGCTTGGTACAAGTTACATCTATTGTCCCAATCCTAGTTCCATAGTAAACGGTCATTTAGCACATACTGGTTCAAGAAAATGATTTAAAAATATGATTATTATTGCAAAGTATCTCTAATGCTTCTTGACTTCACTGGAAGGTACAACTTCTACCTAAGTGTTGTTCATCTGTGGATTGAGTAAGCTAAATTTGTATACAGCACCCCCAAAATGTGTGAAAATACCTTCAATTTTTACACATTTGTATTCACTCTTGTTTTAAGTTATTCGGTCAACTGAATCATGGAGAGCATTATGCATATTGGCCGTTTTTGCCATACACAACAGCTTGGAGTTGTTGAAGGTCAACCAGCTTGGCGATGTAGGTCACTCAACCTGTCCAAGAGCTACCAATCAGAAGCCCATTGGGTGCCAGTCAAATACTTGTGACTGGCACACACCTGGAAGCACCTGGAGCTGAAAACAGGAAGCAGGAGATTTTGACACATCCTTAGTGGTTCTACCCACACATTTTACTCTGTCGTTTATTTTATAAATGCACGATTCTTACAAGTTATAAATAATTGAAAAGGAGACTAATCAAGCTTTCCAACCATATTAGATTCACTTTCATAAAATTATTCTGCAGCAAAGAAATAATCAACCAAACCCAAAATGGGCCAACTATTCAGTGCACATGATTCTGTCTAACCAAGTTAGTTTCTGACAATGAAACAAGAATATGCATGGTTGAAACTAGACGTTGCACAGCTTGAGCCGGCACAAACATATTTTGTGGTCATGTAATGACACCATCTGCTTGTGGGTTCAGACTGGCTGTGTGAGAGAGTGAGACATCCTCGGATGGGCAACACTCGCCAAATTCTGCCAGCAACTGTGAACAAATAGACCATCCCTGCCAAGTCCCGTGCTGAGTTTTCCATTTTCTTTAATAATCACACCTATTTGTTCTCTACAGGGCAAATAAAAGCTCATTTGGAAAGAGGTCTAGGTGAGCGTAAGGAGGTCTAACTATCCGTTTCAAGGACGGGTTTATAGTGCGGAGCTAAAAGCTGCTTCTCCATACAAAATGTCACCCCGGATGTCGGGCGCTTGTTGACAGATTATAACTGGGGGATTCACAAAGAGACAGCCAGTGGATCGAGGGGATTTACCAAACTGCATTTGATGCACAACCAGCCAAAATGTCAGACTGGGTGCATAAACAGCAACAAACCAAGGACACGGGTGTCATTTGTCATATGAATCAGAATCTATTGAGAAAGATGGCTGCACGCTTTTTAAATGAATAGTGATGCACATTATTGCATTTAGACTGAAAGAAAGATTGATGTTTTAGAAAATGAGCTCCCTTTTTCTCAAGGGTTGGATAAGAGAATTAATAACAGCAAATGGTAACTTAAACAGGAAATAGCAATATAATATGAATCTGTTCTAAAACTTTAGAGTTTTTTTTCTCTTTTACTTTTCATTCAAGCAATCATTTGTGTTATTTATGAGCTCCGTGTGCTGCTGATTGTTTTATGTGAGGATGGAAGAAAATCAGCTTAAAAGCTCAAATCTGAGCTCGGTATCAGTCTTAAATCTCAGGAAAAAGAGCAAATAATTACCTTTCCCAGACTGACAAACAATTAGATAAACATTTGCTGTTATTATTCAGTTTGCTGAGCTCCTCCTTTTGTTTGTCTTACAGAAACGCCAGAAAGACAACGGACTTCCCCACCTGGTGGACAATAAAACTTTAGGCAAAAGTTCCTGAATGTCGTTAACTGGTTTTCTACTTTTTGTTTTTATACTTTTCAATAAAACAAAATTAAAACCAATGCTTAGTTTATCCTTGCTGAAGGTTGTTGTCATTTATCACATCCAGCCTTTGCATGCTTCCAGTACTTATTTATTTTTTATTAATAAATGGTTCCCTGAGTGCTGTCAACAGGAACATTTTAGTTCATTAAGTAAGTCGAGCCTGCTGCTGGCTTCCCGACCAAATGTCACTGACACTTTATGAGCCAAACACGTTGGTGTTTGCTGGAAGATCCTTCTGCTGCTGCTCACAGCTCACCTCTAGACACTTTCTTACTGGAAGCTGTAACGAATGGTGCTGTCTCCGGCTCTAAATTTGGCACAGGATGATTAACAGTAGACACAAGCAAATGCAGACCTCCCACTGTTCAAAATACAATTTAGAAAATGCTTGTGACTCTTCTGCTTTTCTGAGTTTGTTTGCTCCAACATGTTTAACACAACAGTGACTCTATGGTCCAGAAAAGCAGGAAGGCAACAACATGTCGGAGGTGAACAGCTTGCAGGACTAATGAGTCATTTCTGATGCAGGAGATCATCCATTTCTTATTGTTTTGGTTGGAAGGGGATTTTAAGCATCCAAACAAAGCCCCCACCCCCTCACTTTGATATGTGTTTAATTCATTGCCCCATCACACACTCAGGCTCCACACAGCCTGTCAGGCAGCATGGCATTTATCTCCCTTGATATCACTTGATCTAAATATTGGGAACACAAAGACACCAAAGTGGGTCAGGATTTAGGCGAATACCCAGAAACATACAAGGATGCAAATCAGTGTGTAGTATTAACTAACACACAGCACTTTCCCAAGTCAAGGACAAGTACCTGAGCAAACTCAGCTCTGTTTGGACAGCTGCTCGATGAGCCAGAATGGAGAATGAGGACTTATGATCATCACAAGTCTGAGTAGGCCTCTTCAGCAGTGTGGCACATGGTGTGTGTAGGGTCCCTGTAGTGTTTTTTATTATCATTACTATTATTTTGTGACAGGAAACTGACATCTAATCCAGTTGACAGTGAAGGTTTTTGTAGCTTGAGTTGCATTTTTCTAAGAAGATGCAAGCCACTGTTGACAGGTTTATTTGTCAAATTTAAGCTCAACTTCGTTTTTGTTTGATTTGTTTGTTGTTTTTGTTTAGCAACAAAAAAAGCTTGCCTAGGAGCCTCATTAGAGCTACTTTACAGACGTGATGAGTTCTGGCACACTTTGGGCAGTTCACTAAGAAGCGAAATCGCACAAACTATGTTTACGACTAAGTCCAGTGGGCTCAGGACACAAATTGTCCTCTAAAACGCGGTGCTTGTGGGATGCACAATGTGTCTTGTAGAAAAGTAGGTTGCCATTTGTAACAGGATTATGAATCCTGTTTTAAAAGCACCCCCATTAGGTACAACATTTCTCTAGAAAAGACGAGATATTATTATCGTTTTAAAGTGGCTGGCTTACAGAGCCAAAGTGTGACTCTCACATTCGAGGAAAACCAGTTCCCTTTGAACAATGATTTCAAACAAACAGCCTCCTCAAAATTTGAGTGTGATCATGCATAATGCAGATAATCTGCTCAGCAGTGCTCTGTATTTAGATTACAAATAGACATTTATGAATAAAGATGATATTTTATTGGCAAATGTGGGGCCGGAGCCCACAGAGGGATAGCTAAAGAAGATGGTGTGTTTTTGTGCCAAAATAATATGCTAATGGTGGCTCAGAATCCAAATCTTGTGGATTTGCTGTGTAGAAGTTAACAGGATCAGACACAACACCTGGTCCGTTTATTGTTTTGTTGATGTTTAAAGTTGCTAGTGTTCGTTCGTGGGGGGGAACGTTCAAGCTAGCTATATATAAAAAATAAAAAAAGGACATTCAGAAATCTAACCCCTTTCTTCAAGCTTCCCATCGAGTCACAGAAACTGATGGTTGCAGAAAATGGCATAACACCTGCTTGCAACACACACCTTCACGAGAAAATAAACAGTTCTGCAGAAATGCTGTTAAGGTCAAAATTTACAGAACCAACACTGAAACAAACCTCCTCCCACTCTCTTCGTGATTACCACCTTAAAGGGGAACAAAGTAGTGTCCATTTGTACAACCGAAAGCAAAATCTATCTCCTCGCTGTGCGATCGTCTTCTTAACACCTTCATCTAACACAGGGGTTTCCAATCCTGGTCCTGGAGGGCCGGTATCCAGCAGGTTTTAGTTTTAACCCTTCTTCAACACACCTGAATTCAATCAGCAGGTAATTAACAGGCATCTGTAGAGCCTGATGAACTGCTGCACAGGTGATTCAACCACTGAATCAAATGTGTTGGAGCAGAGAAACCACAAAATCTGCTAGATACCGGCCCTCCAGGCCCAGGATTGGGCACCCCTGATCTAACAGCTGACATGTCTCCCCAGCCTTCCTCAGTGTCTATGAGTGATTCATCACCAGATTAAACAAATCAGCTGTGTTCATGATCTAAAACATGCAGGAAATGTGCTGGAAGCAGACTGCATCACCAGGTATGTCAGCTCTATTTTTTTAAGTCCCAAGTGAAATATGAAATCGAAATATTCTGGCTGCAGGGGGCGACAGGGGCTGGGTGGCCTTTCATTAACCCTGTTAAGAGTCATTTTAGCACAGACTGGCTCAAGAAAATTATTTAAAAAATATGAAAGAGTTGCAAAGTATCTCTTTAATAAAGCATGTGGTGTTTTTATGGTGAAGACGTTCACACGAGCAGTTTAATTGTTGGGTTGCGGTCCAACCATTTAGAAGGAGGGCACGCACTGGATTGGATGAGGTTTTTCCAAGATTGTACATTTTAGAAGAGGTTAAAATAAGAAATAAAAAACATGTAATTCATTAGTTGACATCTGTATTTGAAGAATCTAAAAGATTTTTAAAAAATCATTTAAAAAATTTCTGACGGCACCTTTAAGCTCTTTCACCTAGATTGAACTTTCCTTGCAATTTAAAACAACAGAATCAAACTAAATCCATTAGGATTTGACTTGTTTTACTTTGTTTTTGTAATAGATCAAAAGCAACTGTTTTAAAAAAAATTAGGAAAAGAACATTTTTGATCAGTGGCATGGTGTGCATCTCATCCCTGACTTTTTTTTTCTATTAAAACACCATTCAACATTTGGGAGGAAAACAGAATTTTTGAAGATCTTCCAACTGATAAGTGAGAAGCTTTAATCAATTTTTAAACAACATGAGAGAGAAAACAAAGATGCTGGTGTAGGAATTTTAAAGTATGAAGATAAAATGTGATGTTTTGGCTTCCTTTCAGCTGGATATGAGCTCCAGCTTCACCGCCTCCGATGCTCCTTATTAGGTGGAGAATCTCGCGTTCTGTGTTGTTTTCCCTCATTTATGGCGTCTTGTTATACCATCCAACCAGTTGGTCTTCTGTCAACCCCAATGCAAATTAGATTTACAGTTTTCTCAGGAAAGGTGTTCCAGTAGAGTACTACAAGTCCAATTAGCTCAGAAGATGAAGACAAAGCACTGGCAGTGTCTCGCCTGTTTTTCAGTTCATTTATGGGCTTGCTGTCAAAGCTAAACGTCCCGTCTGACAAATGCATTTATCAAGCAAGACGGCCATGCAGATGACAACATTTAAAATCTCGGTTGTGAAGCAAATTAGGTGTTTTTGCTTCGTTTTGTTTTACTAAGCAACACAAGACTGAAAAATGCTTAATTTGGATATTCCACAATGTCACCAAACTTAAAAGGTCAAAGCGATCAATACACAAAAAACAGCTGACTGTTGGTTGTATTGATTGTTAGTCAGGGTCAGGTTGGACAAGAGTCTGATTATTCTTCACAGGGCTCTTTATAGCCAAAACAAGTGAGACCAGACAGGAATATAGCATCTCCACAAAGGACTGTAAGTGGTTTTCATAAAGGCTAACAGGAAAGGAGAAAACCAGTGGTTTTCCAAAGAAAGCTCCCAGTGTTGCTCCAGATCACTTCCAAAATGCTAAATTCAAAACATATTGTTAACGTCATACTTTTGCCATTCCTGCTACATACCTCTTGTCAAAAATGGTGAAAACTGTACAATAGTTCCCTTTCAGTCGATTCACTCGGTACAACGAAGGTACTATGCGACATCACGCCCTAGTGTGGCCTGGCTGAAGCCACATTTAATCACACCTGTAAAGGCAGATGAGCGTGACGCTGGGTGGTGGCCCCACCCTCCACCTACAAGCCCCCATCGTCACCGGCATTTTTCAGTTCTTATGCTCTTCATCTCGCTGATAACACGTGTGTACAAATAAACTAGTGTTAGTTATGCTATTGAAAAGTTAGCTTAACTGCTCGCTGGTGTTGATTCTGCTGCCTTCTGGTCAGCGTTCGCCCACCGAGCGCTACTTTTTTGTGGCTGTTTTAGCTTTCTGCCTCCATGCTCTTTTGCCCCTGCCGCTCCGCTCTGTGTCTCGCCATGAGCACCGTGTTGGACTCAGCTAGGCGAAAGTCTGCTTCGCGTCCCTGTCCTCAGGGCTGTGTGCATAACCAAACGTTACTGTCATGCTCCGTCAGCAGTGGTTGTATCATTTGGGCACACGTCTCTACTGCTGCTATTTTGTGGGTCAGAGGCTGAAAAGTTTGAAAACCACTGCAACACCAACCTAACAAGAACCATTCATACACTTCAGGGTTTGAGGTCAGAGAGGGACTGTCACCAGAGATAATCACCTGTCCAATTACGGGGTCAACACACACACACACACACACACACACACACACACACACACACACACACACACACACACACTTTAGAACAAGCAGTTTGTCATCAAATAGTCAAAAACATTTGAAGACATAATTTCAGTTAATCAATTATTATTAACTCTTTTTTATAGTAACACTTTTGGTGTGTTTTCTATTGTCTGAAAGCTCAATTAAGCATTTGTTACTAAAAGTTAAAACTGCAGGCATCATGCATCCATGACATGAGCAACACATATAATGTGTGGTTTGTGCTCCTGGAAAAGGCAGAAAACTCCCCTGCAATATTCTCCACCCATTTAGCAAGTGTTGCTCCTTCCACACGTTTATCTATACAAGTTTAACTTTTGTGTAAAGGTGACTAATATGTTTTTTTCCAGTTATATAAAATATAACATCAATATTAATGGGAAATTTAAAAGATATGACTTTTTTTTCTTTATAATAGTTGTATGGTCAACACAGCATTTGTTTATTAGGTTCTTTGCACAAAATCCCTCCAACATAAAGCAATATCAGCTGTTTTGTTGTCGACATTTTCAGTACCTTACAGAACAAGTCGTTTCAGGGCTCTGTCACTTTAAGAAATGAGCTGGCTACGCCCACCCATCTGCCACTCAGGCTGCTATAAGCCGAGAAACTCTGATATCCGAGAGGGGTTCAGAGTCGAGCCGCTGCGCCTTAAGCAGCAGCTCATAAGAGGTACTTCTTTGCTAATTTCCCTGTTGTGACATCACAAACTGGGTCTTTTCATAACAGCTTGTTTTAGGCACATAAATTCTAAAACCAAGCACCAACAGAAAATAGATGGACATCTTTTTTCATGTTTGGACTGTTTTTAGTGGCAGTAGAGACCCAAAAGCACCGAAGGACCCAAAAGGTGAGTCTTGTATAATACGTCCCCTTCAGCTGGGTTGAAATTCCTAAACTTGATTGGAGTCAATGTGCTTCTGTTTACAAGCAGAATAGAATCCACCCCACCCAAAAAAAATATCCTCACACAGCACAGATTTACTGTGTATTTATGATCCATGGTTTGTTGTGTTGGTTTGTGGCTGGCTTTGCACACAGCAGATCCTAAATGTGCCAAAATAAATAAATAAACAAAGACATTTATGTGAGTCACTCCTGGCCTTTCCTTGTTTATACAGACCATACCTCCTCTCCCTTGTACACTCACACATTGATTTAGCTCTGCGGCTAATTCCACAGCTCAAAAGCTCATGAACTTTGACTTCCTATCCAGCCTTCAAACCTACAAGCAGAAAGTCAATACACAACAAAGACGATCCAGTTCTGCTGCAAATGGGCAGAGTGAAAAAGGCTGCGCACAAATACACAACAGCTGAAATTACATCTGCCAAATTTCGTAATGTTAACATTCGTCTGTGGGCTGTTGTTAGAAACTTTTGGCATTTGACCTTCATATCTTGGTTCGCGAATGAGTTAATCTTACATCAGTTGAAGCAAAACTGCTCATGAGCTTCTGGGGTTTAGCAACTTTTCATAAGGGAACCCAGAGGTGCAGCTACTAAATGTTGAAATATAGTGTCCAGTGTGCAGGAAAACGAGCGGAGGCACTGCATCAACGTCAGCAATCCAGCCAAAGCCTTGATCTATGGTGTTTATCCCTGAAAGTGGGAATGAATATATTTGGGTGAAGTCATAGAGCAAAACACATCTATGTTGTTGCTTAAGAAGCTTTAGTTTTTTACAATATTTCATTTTAATCATGCAAAGAAGGTTCTTTCTTTGTTTTAAAATAATAACTAACCAGAAAACAACCATATGCGATTTGCATCTGTTACATCTTGACATTCAGCCATCATACCCAAATGAAATCATTAAAGCAAAGAACTATTTATTTTGAAGCTGCTGGTAGAAATCTGCACATGTGCAAGGCCCTCACCAAGACATCGAGCTTCAGATGAATGAAAGGCTAGGGAAAACAGACGCTCTGTGTAGTGAGTGCTGCTGGAGACCCAGTGAAAATGAAAAATGCATGTGAGTACGTGAAAAATCTTAGCTCCCCAAGGGGTACCAAAGCTACGAACCACAAAAAAGAAATTAACCAATGCAATAGTGAAAAAAGGGGGGGGGGGGGGGGGTCTCACCACCCCCTCTGCTCTGCTTCTCCAGATCGTTCTAAAAATGATTTATTTTTTAATAAATGCGCAACAGCAAGTGTGATTCAATCGGTGAAATAATTTGTGTCATCTCAAATAGCACAAAGGTTGGTTTGTTCTCACTGTGATAAATCTCCCGTTTCTGAGAAAGCACAAAAAAAAGCTTTGAATCTCAACAGAACGCTGATGTTTCATTTAGGGACATTGTTTTTGTCACTAAGCATAATTCATCATCGGTGAGGCAAAAAAAAACAAGCAAAAAAGGTCATGTAGCACCAGCGGAAGATTTTTAAGCAATAAGAAAAAGAGCACAAATAAAAGATAAGCTATCACACACGTTCATCTAAATGTTTGAAACTGGTGACAAAAGAATCGATGCATTTTAACAACATTTTATCTGTCCTGAGGTTAAGATGTGTTAGCGGTGAAAATAAGAGGTGAAAAACTCTTTTGTATCCATCACTCTCTAGAGGGTAATCTGCTAAAAATCCCATACACTCCTGGTCCATCAATTTGTCAACGTCAACATGGGAATGCAGGGAACCGCTCTGATCCCGGGTTCCTCACAGCCACCGTCTTCTGGATTCTTATCTCCCGCCTGCTGTTAACTGTGTCGACTCAAGAAGAATCAGCGCGCACCAGCTCTCTGGCTCCACCAACGCTCCCTGCAGGGCAAAAGGATGAGCCCTTGGCTGTTTGATTGTCAAGGCCCCGTTTCAACCCCCCGCTCAATCCTTCCATCCCACAGCTGCTGCTTCTACAATTCCCTCCATTAACAAGGAGCTCTCACTTCCCACTTTTCCTTTGATGTGTCGCGGTTTGCTCCAGATTTGTTTTTTAACGTGACTGACTGAATCCACTTAAGTGCGACAAGAAAGTGAGGTGACCTTTTTTTTCCTATTCTTGGCAGAAGCTGGATCAAAACTCCAAAGTGTGTGAATTCGAGTGTCACATAAAACCACAATTAATTATAGATGAATCATCGGTGGAGATAATGTCTGGAACTGACAGAATGATGCAACGTCTCAATAAAAATGCTAAACAAATAGGCTTTTTTGTCCTAATGTAACCTAGTTTTGTAAAGCCTCGTGTGAATTTACTTAACTAGTAAAAGCCGGGCTTTAAGGAGTGGTTGACTAAAGCCTGATTTATGCTTCTCCGTCTGCGTCAGTGCGGAGACACGCAACGCCATTATCCGTCCTTGCGTAGGGCTCCGGCAGGCACGCAAGTACGTACGGAGTCGAGCCCACTTTTTTAAACATCCGTCGAACGAGACGGATTACGCAAGCTTGTGATTGGTCAGGACGCCGCTGTTGTTTACAGTGCCGCCATTGCAAAGAGAGCCGAGGATAACTAGCGGCAGACACGGATAAACTTGAATACCTCGCGAAAAAAACTCTAACTATATGAACATTTAATTCTCCCGTGACTGGAGAAGTGAAAGCGTTTTATTTGTGGACGGAAATGACAGGAAACGTGGGTTTAGAGGTGGGGAGCGCATGAAGCGGTGGGAGAATGAGAGACAAATATGTCCGTGTTAAAAGTCTCTTATATACACAAAAAACACAATATAAACACACTATCTTGGACCGATACATGACAGGATACCACAGAACAGCGCTACGCCCTCTGTTGTCCTGCCGGGCAATTGCTTTGCAACACTCTCCAGGAGACAGAGAAAAATGAGAGCAAAACGCTTCCGTCAATCTGTGCATGTCTGTTCCTTGCGGAGCTGATGGAGAAGCATAAACCAGGCTTAAGATTAAAGTCCCATCAGTTGTTACACACACTGGTGTGTGGTGAAAGCTGTTCTTCGCATTTGACTCATCCTCATAGGGAGCGGTGAGCTGCAGACACAGCCGCGCTCGGGAACTATTTGGTGGTTTAACCCCTCAGTCCAACCCCTTAAAGCGGAGTCCTTTTTTTTTTTGTAAAGTCTGCCCAACCGGGATTTGAACCTCGATCTCCCAGTATAGGGAACACACTCAAACCACTAGGCCACGGACTCATTTTATCAATACATTTGCAGTGGTCTCTCTTTTAGGAATGAGTGCCTTGTAAGCATGGACGTAATTTTGGGGGGGGACAGGGGGGACATGTCCCCCCCACTTTTTCCAAAGTCAAGTTTTGACCCCTGCACTTTTTACCATCCAAAAACAATATTACGCTATATTAAATTGACACTGGTTGAGCTCTAGGACCAAGTGGAAAACAACTGTTTGTGTTGAAGCCTGTTTCCCATTAGAGCAAACTGTAAAGATCCCCCCCGTGTCCCCCCACTTCTAAAGTGAAAATTACGTCCATGCTTGTAAGTCGTTTTCGGGGGGAAAATATACTGGATCACCATTTCTCAGAAATAAATGTTGCCCACCTCACAGATGGGCTTCAGACAGCAGGTTTTGGAGTCTTATTTCCTGGTATTTGGACATCTGGCCGCGGACTGGATAACAGCAAAGCGACTCTACAACTGACTCGCAACATGGCTGTTTTATCTCCACAAATAACACAAGCCTGGAGGAGCTTCTGCCATGTGGTGCATCGACATAAAAATATTGGACAATGGGTTTCCATAGCCTCCACTAATAAGTTTTTGTACTAAAATGGGAGGTGGCCACCACCGCCATTTTGACTGTGTCACAGGATCCGTCAAGCCCAGACAATTCCACAAAAGGGAAGAGAGGTGGAGCTGAGGGTGGGGCTGTAAGGCTGGGATCAACTGACGACACCCAGTCGAACTAGCTACAAGCTAACCTGAAGCTAACCCAAAGCTAATGCGGAGGTGGGAGCTAAGCTAACGGAGGTAGCAACCTAGCTACAACCGGAGTTAACTGTGCACAACACCAGAGCTTCTGAGTCAGAGATACGCCGGGCTGACCGCTGGGTAAAACCGGGTGGAACACAGAGGTCTCCCGAGAGCTCCACAAGCCGGCAGCCGCACAGCAGACAAGCGCCGCTGCGATCTGAGATGCACAGAGCTGCCGCTGGGGAGAACCAGGTGGAAAGGTTTCCATCCAGAGCTCCACAAGGCGGCAGCCTGCGCAGCAGACAGAAGCCGCGATCAGACAGAGATGCGCCGGGCTGCGGGGAGGGGAGAACCGGGTGGAAAACAGAGGTCTCCCGAGAGCTCCACAAGCCGATAGTCGGAACCCAGCTCCACCAACATGTTATATTTCAACCCATTTTCTAAAGTGCGGCATTATGTTAAATGCACTGGGTTTTACCCGATTACATTTAAATTTCATGGTTAAACAGTACATTTTAAAATCTAAGCTCAGCTCGGCAGTGACCTCAAATACATAAATATAATTTTACTTACCGAAAAAAATGAAGTGGAGACTCCTTGGACGCTCTATTAGTGCAATTAATGCCACAGCAAGTCATTTTGTCCAACAATTGCACAAAAAATATCCAAAAAAGAATACACAAACACAGAGACTCAAAATCCCGGAGCAGTTTCCAAGCCAGACCGAGGCTCTACTGAGGCCTTTCCACGGAGCTAGCTCTGTGGTCACGTGGGTCTGATGCTCATTAATTATACAGATTTTTAGGCTTTTAATCCTTTAAACAGAAGAGTGAGAAAAAAATTCACCCCCTCAGACTTGTTATGAGTGTAAACTAGATAATTTAAACAAAAAACATGTTTTGGAACCAGGCTGTAAACATGTTTGTTTCTGCTGTGAAATTGGTATTTTTAAAATGGGAGTCAATGAGGATTTGCTCGCTTCTGACACCAGTCCCCAGCGGATGAGGGTGGAACTGCAATTTTTGGTACTTCCGGGTTGGAGTCCAGTTTTGAGCCGCGTTGTGGGGGCTTGGTGTGGTGAAGTTGCTAATGCTAACTGTTAGCTTAAACTAGCAGAGACGTTCTCTGCTAATTCCCGGACAATAAAACAACAACAACAGTCTTCCTCGTCGTGAGTACAGATAGGTGAGTCCATGAATGCTGATTTGCAGTCTGATATAGATCTGTGAGAATATACTAATTCTAGATTTGTACCATCTATTTTCTATCAGAAGCGAATGCAGGAAATGTGTAGGAGATTATTATCATGTTAAGCCTGCATGAAAAACACAGAGTGACTGATTATAATCAGAAAATAACATTTAAAAATGTTTTTACAGTCAACCACGCCTTAAAATATTAATTATCTCGATGATTTGGTTGATTTTTGTGGATGAAAACAGGAAATTGTAATATTAACTTTCCTTTTCATAATTCTTTTTGTTAAAGTGAAAGTGTGTAGTTTCCCTGGTGATAGGGCCAGTAGATACCTAAATCATTGCAAGCAAGCATTATTTTTATGTTCAAGTAAGACCTTACCAACAGATGGCCAATCAATCAATCAATCAATCAAAGCTTTATTTATAAAGCGCCTTCCGCAACCCTGTCAGGAAGCCCAAAGCGCTGAACATGGTACAGTTGTAAGTAATTATACTGAATAAATCAACAATAAAAGAAATTCAAATTACAAAATACAAATTACAAAATACAAAATGGAAATAACAAGATAGATGAAACATTCCGGTAAAATACAAATGTGTGAAACACAATTGGATTGAGTGGATGGATTGAGTGTACCAATGAAAACTGTGGAATGGATTCAACATAATAGAGGGCCATAATCAAACATGTTCTGGAAACGCCAAGCGGAGGAGGTGTGTTTTTAGGTGATTCTTAAAGACTGGTAGAGAAGGGGACAGCCTAACTGAGGGTGGCAACTGGTTCCAGAGTAACGGTGCTAGGACTGAGAAAGCCCGGTCCCCACGGGTACGACACCTAGACCGAGGGACAGCGAGCAGGCCTTGGTCAGAGGAGCGCAGAGCGCGTGATGGGGAATGTCTGTTCAGGAGTGTGGCCAGATAGGGGGGAGCACCACCCTGGAAGAAATGATAAACAAAGACGAGTATTTTGAATTGTGAGCGATAGGAAATCGGAAGCCAGTGCAGGGAGGCCAGAACTGATGTGGTCCCGTTTCCTGGTCCCAGTCAGGAACCTGGCAGCGCTGTTCTGCACAACCTGTAGGCGACGCAGTGTTGACTGACACAACCCTGCGTAGAGAGAGTTGCAGTAGTCAAGCCGAGAAATTACAAAGGCATGCAGTACCCGCTCCAGGTGGGCTCTCGACAGCATATGCTTGATTTTAGCAAGGCGTCTCAGGTGAAAGAAACTGGACCGGATCACAGAATTGATGTGAGCATCAAATTTAAGTCCTACATCAAGTTTCACCCCCATTAGGGTAAAAAATTTTTGGAAGTGCAACCTCCAGCAAAATGACAAGCACATCATATTCACATGCAATGGGTGAAGAGGTAAATTTGTAAAGAATAATGTTTATTAATACTGAAGGTTTTGTAACCATTTGTTACAAATAGGTAAATGCATTCTGTCCTCACGAGCTTCCATAGAAGGAAATATGGCATCCAATATGGAGTCGCCAGAGACTCAGACCCGAATGCCATGTATTTTAGACCCAATTTTTACGGTTATATGTCATGAAACCGCCAATATTTTTCAATAACTGGGCATCTTTTAATTAATTTACAACAACATTTCAACTGATATTTCCAGGATTAATAGTTTAAACTACACATTGGTTTTTCTGTGCATTTTAAAGTGACAAAGTGATTGATGGTATTAGTACCAGAAATTATCCATCCATTCATCCATGGATGGATGGATGGATGGAATTATTTTTGCTAAAACAGCACAGAAAAACAAAAATTATATAATTAGTGCAAGAAATTATACGTTTCAACAATTTCACCACCAGACTTGACCTTAAATGTGCTTCAAATGCAGTGGTCAATTCTACATATGAGCTCAGTTTGTTAGCATGCCACCCACTTTTGACTGAAATAGTTCTGCATTGTTCAGAACAAGAAAGTGTTATTTTCTTATATAAAACAAGAGATCTTGCTCTTTTCATTTGGCCTAATACTTATTAAAGAAAAAAAATAGTCATAAAGTGACATTAACAGCAGGGTATCCATCATGCCAAGAATACATTTTTGTAAAGCATTTTATCTTAACTTTAAAGGTCAGAATTACTGTGTGATCTGTATTATGAACATTTTTCAACAAATTAGTGCTTTTAATGTTAAAATGATCCAAGGGTGAAGTTGGGGCCAACTGCTTTGTTACTCTAGCTTTCCACCAGATCCTCAGTGTAATAGAGGCGTTTTCACTGCAATCGTGGATTGATAGTGATTATTTTTATTTATTTGTTTGTTGATGTTATCATTGTTTTTATTATTGCTTTTGAAGAATGAGTTACAAAACCCCTTAATTTCCCTCTGGGAATATTAAAATATTATTTTAAAAGTGTTCCGCACAGCTGTTCCAACAAGGTAATGAAATTAATGGAGAATCGCAAGATAAAGTGTGGACAAGCAAAGAGAATAACGGCAGCATGTATCCAAAAAGGTCTTTTTACTTTTCACCAAGTAGGCTAAAGCAGAGAGCTGAAGTTTTGTTATTCAAGGGCGCCATCTAGAGGCTGAAAAATGTACAGCACCTTAAGCCGTTCTCCCCACTTCCTTATTTGCGACTGAAAGCAATGTCTCTCATTTGCGAATGCACACCTGAGCAACAGAGCTAAAACATATAAAATGTATGTAACCATTTGTTACAAATAGGTAAATGCATTCTGTCCTCACGAGCTTCCATAGAAGGAAATATGGCATCCAATATGGAGTCGCCAGAGACTCAGACCCGAATGCCATGTATTTTAGACCCAATTTTTACGGTTATGTTGTTTGTCTTATGTTGTTTATTCATATGTTTTAAATACATACTTGTTCACAAGAAATGTCACCAACTATGCATCAGTCTAGGCTTGTCCTCAAATGCTGGCACACAATCTGTGTTTTACATCATGAGCAAATGTGGAACACTATTGGCTAATGCTGTGACCATTTCTTTTATGGATTTCTATAA